GTGAGGTTTACGTTATGTAAATATCGTAACAAAAGGAAACTGTGAGCTGCCTTTAGGACCTAATGCTACAGTAATTTCGGAACATAGTAATAATGTTCTACTTAATGTGTGCAATGATTCACTTTTGAACGACCTTATATAAAAATAAATAAAAAATTTTAAAATATGAAATTCCTTCGGACGAATTTATCTTCTTTTATCAAAATCAAATAGACAAATGCAATTTATTGAAGCCGCCTCAATATTTTGTTGCATTTGTAAAAGTCTTAGAAACAAAATTTTTAGAAGAATTTGAGGAGACATTCTTTTTAATGAAATGAAAGATGTTATGCCCTTTTTGTGTTGTGAAAATTGAGACCCGAAAATAGTTGTAGCCCTTTTCATTCGAATAAGAAGTTACTTTGTAATTAAATTTTTAAACAAAGAACTTTCTGTCCCTAATTTAAAAAATAAATTTTGTGTTTTACACCTACAGGTTTTTATCTTTATTTTTTAGTGGTTACAATAAGTGAACTTACCATACAATAATATACCATACAAATTTTTTAAACAGATAGGCTAGAACAGAGAGGCTCTAAAATTATAAATCGATTCTTTTTAAGTAAAATTAGAATATGGGGCTTATGTAGGCATTTGTTTATACGTATATTTTTATATTTGTAAATATTATATTTATTCTGTGATATGAAGTGATATTGTTTGTGTTAATTTTATTTTATATATATTTATCTGTGAATTGTTATCTTTTGTTTTTTTATACAAATAAATATATATAAATTATTAATTTTTTCGATTTGGCTACAATGGAAAATGTTATAAAAAATGCTAATTTTGAGGTGAGCTAGACGTGCATGGCATATATAAATAAAAAAACAGAACTTATCCTTGACAACAAAGTTTTGTTATACAACGCGGCAATAAAACCGATTTGACTGTATGGTGTCCAACTGTGAGGTACGACCTTAAAAAATCCTTAGAGCTATGACGGGCTCACCATGGTACATTCGTAATGAAAACATTCACAAAGATCTTAGTATTCTTATGATAATGAAAGAAGTAGAGGACAGTAGAAAGAACTATGAGCTTAAACTCCGTAATCATCCAAATCCATTACCTGATACCTTGCTATATTCCTGTAATCAAACTTGCTTAAAAAGAAAAGATCTATCAGCCTTCTAAAGAGTAACGTTTCACTAAACTCAACTACAGAATAGAGCTTGTCTAGTTTTAAATAGATAGGACTTATTGTTACGCTTTTCACAAGTAAATTCAATAAATAAAGCTATTTTAACCAAAAAAAAATTACCATCTTGTATATTAAATGTTCTTTAACGTTTTTCTTTTTGTTCTATAGAAATAGGGGGTCATTTAACCATTATAGATAGGATACTTTCAACTTCCATATGGGAATGGAAAAGTTTGCTGGAACTATTGATGTTGGGGATTTAACCATGAGGAGGTTGGCATTTGAAGATGTAAGCCTGCACAGTTTGGTTGTCTATTACCATAGGCATAATTATTTGGATATGTATTATTAAATATTGAATAGTAGTCTGTAGTAGAAGACCGGTGGTGGTTGCCGATAAATGAGATTATTATTTGTGGTTGGTTAAATGAGTCTGAATTCCAAACCACCATCTCACACACATTCCACATCAGAACATCCCACATCATTTCACCATGCACCAATCCAACCACCACGATCACACCCCACATGAGGACACACAACACACCATACCGAAGAAAGTAAAAAGGGAACAACGAGCGGCGAAACGTCATCGTACGCTATACACGACCTCGCTTGTCATCCGTAACGGCCTTCCCTTTATTAACATAATTACGGCTGTTTCTCTTTATAAATAAAATTGTGAACTTTTGAAAAAACAACCTAAATACAGTCCGGTTTGTTAGTGAAGATTCAAGTCTCTAAGGTGAGTGCTAATAAAGGTGGCGTATAAATTAAACATTCAAACCTTACGGAAAGGTACTATTCAGAAAAAAATTAAATATAAGTACAAACAAATAAATTATAAGTACGAAAGTGCGGTGGTCATGTACCTACCTAAAACAAGAAAAAGTGTACAGTGAAACAAACAACTGCGGTAGAAATGAATATACATACATAAAAGAAAAAAAAAACGCCGAAATTAAAAATACACATATATACAGTGCAATAAAAATAAATATATATATACAAAAAGTGTGGTAAAAGTAAGTGTAAACATACATAAAAACAAGTAAGGAAGTGCTAAGTTCGGATGTAACCGAACATTTTATACTCTCGCAAAGCAAATGGTATACTCGTTTAAGATTTCATTGTGGATTGACCGATATTTTCGGTAGAAAGTCAACTATATGCACTGGGGTCCACATATTCAGTACTTAGGGGCTTGAACAGTTTTTGGTTCGATTTAGACAATTTTTGGTCACAAGGTGGCATACTTTAAACGTATTATTCACACAAAGTTTTACCCCGATATAATTATTGTTGCTTGATTTGCAAAGTGGAAAGTGAAAGAATCAGATGGAATTGAAAATGGTGTTATATGGAAAATAGGCGTGTTTGTAGTCCGATTTCGCACTATAACCCATGTTCGCCCATTTTCGCACTATAACATAAAAATAGAAATAGAACGTTATGCACCAAATTTTGTTGAAATCGGTTAAGCAGATCCCAAGATATGGGGTTTCACCTAAAAGTGGGTGGTGCCACGCCCACTGACTAATTTTGAACGCGGTTTCTATATAGTCATCTCATACCATCCCAGAGGTAAAATTTAATGTCTCTGTCGTGTTTAGTGCTTGGTTTATCGCGCTTTTAGTATTTTTTAGCAGTACCGTTATATGGGGAGTGGGCGGGCTTGTCGCCCGATTTCACCCATTTACACACCGTCAATAGAGGTGCTAAAAAATTTGCTTCCAGTGAATTTGGTCATTATAGCTTTAGCGGTTTAGGAGATATGCACATTAAACCTATTAGGGGCGGGACCACGCCCACTTTAAAAAAAAAAGTTAATTGCAGATGCCCCTATTGTGATCCTGTGTACCAAATAAGAGTCTTGTATCTTGTTGTGGAGCTTAGTTATGGCAATTTATTTGTTTTTGATTAATGGCGTTTTGTGGGCGTGGCAGTGGTCCGATTACGCCCATCTGCAATACCAACCGTCTCACGGTACCATGAAACATGTCTACCAAGTTTCATAAAGATATCTCAATTTTTACTCAAGTTAGAGCTTGCACGGACGGGCGGACAGACAGTCACCCGGATTTTAATTCGTCTCTTTATTCTGATCATTTATATATATATAACCCTATATCTAACTCAATTAGTTTTAAGTGATACAAACAACCGTTAGGTGAACAAAACTATTATACTCTGTAGCAACAGGTTGCGAGAATATAAAAAAGTGCGGAAAATCAAATACAAAACACAAAAATTCTAATACAACAAACTAGGGAACATACCTACGGAACAAAGAACAACAAAAGCAACGTCGGACGGTAGAACACCACACGTATACTTCTAGTTAATATAAATACTAAATACTATCCTTTTAAGGAAAATATTTAACTAAAGGAATTAGAATTAAGCAATAACTTTGGTGTTTTTAACTGATGTCGATATGAAATAAACAATAAAACTACTGATTAAAATAGCTATAAATGAACACGTTTAACAAAAAGAAATATTACTATAAATGGTACTAACTTGATACACTTTGTAAAACGCAAATTTTTGATAAAATATGTAAAAAAAATCATAGTCCAATGAGGGATTCCAAATCAGGTAGACTACTAATTAGACCAGAAAGAATTTAAATTAAATGAAATATATTTGGAAAACTTTATATTTATATTTTCAATATAAAAGAACTGGAAAAACTTTACTTTCACAAATAAGTTCCCAATAGTAGGGAAATAATTAGTGTAAACATTATACTTAGCATAACGATTGTATATACTTAACATAACTAATATTGTAATTAAAATTAATTTCTAATATTTCTATACAAGAAAAAAAACAAATAGAAATTTTTAACAAAATTAGATCCAGGAGAATCTCAAATGAAAGGGAGGAGGAGTTACGCTGCTATACTCTAAGCATATAGTAATCATATACAGGTATACAAATTCTGCTGAGTTGTGGAATAAGAGAGAGTGAATTCCTCGCATGTCAAAGCCAACTCAACTAAAAGCATAAATGAGCAAACTAACATGCAATGACGAAATAATTAGTCGTAATATTCGATCCCATAAAGGAACAACTAATAGATCAAGCCTTTTATTTTCAACTTCGTTTCTCGGCAGGTAGAGTTCTATATATATGGAGACGCCGAAATCCAGTAGTTAGTGTTCTCCAATAATTGGGTCCTTATAGTTTTATCTTATTATTATTATTTTTTTTTTTTTTTTTGTTTTTGAAAACCAGTAGTTGGTCCTACTGTTCTATCATGGAGGGTCCTTTGGGTAGGATTCGCAGAATTGTGTTGAGTTATACTGCTTTTTCGTACAAAACTTCGTTAAATGATTTCTTGTAAAAGGAGTGATTGTTGTATTTATTATATTATATATTTAGTATCGCTTTGCGTCCTATACTATATTATTTGTAATTTTAGATGCTCTTTAATTTTCATAAATTTCATTCAATTATTCTCACTTCTACTTAGGCTCAATATTTTTATGAAGGGCTTTGGATAAAATATAACTTTTACTTATGCTTAGTACATCAAACATTATGCTTAATACATTAATAAAATTAAAGACTTTAAATATTTTAATTTTATTTAGAACTTCTTTTATTCACATCGCAATTGTGACTCACAATCTTAAAAATATTGTAAGCTAGCTGTGGGTCAATGACAGCGGCTTCGGAATTATTGGCGGCAGAGTTTAGCGCATGTTCAATGGTCAGCAGAACTTGCAGTTTATGCGTTGTTAATAGCGATCGATTACGAGAGTTGGAGCGGATATTTCTTTTAACAAATTTCATTATGTTGTTGAACTTTAATAATATTAATAAATTATAAAATGTAAATAAATTATAATATCCTAGTTCGCTCGGGTATAGCTAATTAATAAATATTATAAATTGCTTTTATGTTAGGAATTTCATTCATTCATACTGTAAATGAGACCTGCCAATTTTCGACCGACGGCTTTATCGATGGCACTGTGTAACCGTGTAATAAAACCTAACACCAAGCACTACCCCCCACAACTAAAAAAACATTATAATAAACAAATTAAGACATGCATAAAATAAAACATTAATTTATACACATATACCAGTTCTCCTTAGCGAATTGTGGATCCAAGACTGTTCCATAGCATTTTTATTGCACAGGGATTTCTTTGATAGCGGATATATTTTCAGGATCTGGCAAAATACCTTCTTCTGAACACGGGCCAAAAAAATTCACTTTCGTTCTGAAAAATTTAGATTTTCCAGATTGACTTTAAAATTTGCTTTGTACAAGACCGCGAACACATTTTCAATATATTTTATATGTTCTTTAATTTGAAGCAGGACTTTGCCATAAGGATTTTGAGAATGACATTGATCAGTCTGCGAAAAATGAAAGAGCCATATTTAAGACAGAACAGCAACCTAGTAAAGTTGGTCTTTCCTATGACCCTTTCCTTCTTCCTGATTTGGTGGAGTCCGAAAGAAAATATTAGACCATTATTTAAGAGTTCTGTTATTCCACTGTTGAAGACTGGTCCAAAGTGTTCCGAATATTGAATTAATAAAAATTACGAAATTAATTAAACGACACTTTCAGAGCTGAAGCTTAAACGAAACCTCAGATCGGCAGCGCAGTAATGTGATCGTCAGCGTAAAGGTAAGCGAGCGTGAGCCTTGCTTTCCTAAAAATTTCTATTCAGCGACGGAAATATGGCAGACGCAAGGTCATCAATTTTGGCAAAGTGCAAATTAGTCATGACCTTCAGAGTATGAGCGTTTAAGCCAGCAGGTGTTGCGAGTGATGACGTTTGTATGACAATCTTCTGCTTGTGATGCGTGTAGTTCTAGGCAAATTAATAGGAAGAATAAGAAAACCAATTTATTCTATTTATCTCAGATCTCGTCCTCAGATGGTTAAACTGTGGATGTTGTTTATATGGAGAGCTTCCAACGCTACTAGTGACAACACTACACTCCAGAAACGTTAACTGAATAGTAGGCGATGATTCGATGTTGCTAAATTGCTGGCGTTGTTCCATGTAATTTTCCGCTAAATCTGTTCAACACAATGAAGTCGTTACCACTCTGTTCAATCTGTGGAATATGATCAGCGTTACAAAACTAGTTTATTAAGTATACAATTTGATGTTATTAAATTAACAATTGTGTTCTTGTTGCATTTTGTTACATCTACAATACATATTTTTCCGTTAACCAAAAATTTTCGTTTTGTTCTAAATGGTTAATTTAATTGCCTTTGACAAGTGGTTTAAAAAGTATATTTTGGTAATTAGTTTTATCAAAGTTTAATATCTTAACAATCTAAAGGATTAGGAGGTATAAAACGCTTCCCTGATAATAAAACTCAACATAGAGGAGAACATAGAAAAAAAGCGGGGCGAAAGCGTTAACACGATCGAAGAGGAAGCTTTGTTACGTTCTCTGGGGGAAAGCCAAGGGTGCTGCCTCGGCATTAAAGATTAAGCCCAGGGTAAAATCCTGATGTGCCGCCGGAAGATTGGAGAGTGTTGACGGTTACCAATTACTACAAGTATGATGGCAGCTAGAACTACATCCACCAAATAAACAAGTCTGACGAGAACATATTTTACGGAAGTTTCAGGAAGATTGCGTGGGGCATAGGTAGCGTGTACCTTCGCCTACAAAAGCCCAAACTGGCCGATAATAACTTAAACACGCTGGGGAAGCGGGAGGTCGTGAAAGACCAAGGCGAGATTCTAGTGGCCATCCTGAAGCTCCATTAAGCAGAGGAGAATAATTTGGACAATATGAAAGAGATAATCTTCAAAAAATAAATGCCAAAGAATGTACTTTCCACTGATAATAAACATTCTCCATTAAATTTGAATTATCTGTGTTTTTTTCTTTGAAAAAGTAGGGAATCTCGAAATGAATCACCATATACATAAGTCGAGCATAGATATTCTTCCACCGAATTATTTTTAAAATTTAATAGAAAGTTGGCTATTACCAACGTTTTAAAACTTCGGGTAGAGGTTTTGGCATGAAATAGACAAGCTCAGAGGATTCTGTCGAAGGGATGTGAGCCCATTCCTCGTTTAGCACATCCTTGAGCATTTCCTTTAAGGTAAATGTGAGCTGCCGGGTTTTACGTTTTAGTGAATCCCATAGCTTTTTAGGATTCAAATATGGTAATTATGGTGGTATTTAAAGCTGCTTCGAGTCGTTATCATGTAGAATAGCAGTTACTTCTAAAACAAATTTCTTCCGCTATTTGTTTCAAATTTATTTTTAAGATATAAAGGTATGAATTCTGACCATGATGGGCTCTGTAACTTCCATTCGGCCCACACCATTACTAGCGATGAATCCCTATATCATTACTTCTTCGCCACTGCGCTTAACATTATGCATCAAAATTTCCCTATCGAGTGCCTTGTTCGTTTTTCACCATAAAATCATTCGGCCTTAGGTTCAAAAGGCCCAAAACTTGTTTTCATCAGACAAAATAACCCTTTGCCAAACCTCCCGGGGCTTGTTTAAGTGCTCTTTGACGAAAACATTATGCACTTGTCTGTTGACTGACGATATGAATGACTTCCTGTGTGCGACCTGACTATTAAACCCTATTTTTTTTAAATAAGCGAATCGTGTCAGTGCAAAAGGATTCTTTTAAAGTTTTCTTAAATTAATTTTGAGCGATTTTGGTTGCAGTAAGTCGGGGGTTTTGCTTCTTATTTTCTGTCACATTGTTACGTGTTTCAAGCGATGCTAGTATTTTTGGCCGCCCCAGACAGGCCGATATATAAAAAAAGCTTGTATGTTTGTAAGTTTTTATTATTCTTTTCATGGAGGAATGTGTTCTTCCAACAATTCGACCAACTTAACCGTATGTTTTTCTTTCTTCCAAAAGTTTAATCATTATTACTTTAAAATGATTTTATTCTAAAATTTAGTATATAAGAGATATTTTTTTACAAAGGCAAATAAGACATAAGAGTGTACGCAGACTTTTTCTCCCAAGTGTACATCCCGAGTGCAAACAACTAGGCAAGAACTGTATACTGGTAAGGAAAACTATACATTGACCTAATTATACCTAATATTAAATTTTATTTCCTAGAGCAATCTAGCTATAGTTAACTTGGGGAGGAGCTAACATATATGAGTCTTACTTCGAAGAACGTTCTAGACGTAGCATTTCACACTAACACAATAATCAAGGTTGAAGATTGGGGCCTTCGGACACACTCGTTTACTGACCGTAGGTATGTAGGATTTCAAGTAAAATTTAGAAATCCTAAGGACACTAACTCGGGTTTATACAGAAAGATAGTAATTGGGAATTTAACTAGACACAAGGTAGGTGACTCAACCTCTGGACTGGAGGAAGAGACCATCACACTTACGGATATTCTCTATAAAGCGTATCACATCGTATGAATTCCATCACATGCAAAGCGTGGTTCGAAGCGGCCTTTGTGGAACAGGGAGCCCGAATCACGTAGACGCAGTGTTCAGGAATTCTTTAAACTGACCAAGATAGCCGATGAGGAGTTTTATTTGGATGGAATATAAGGATATACTTTAGGAATGTACGAAAAAAATTAACAAAGCTAAAAGGATGTTGTAAAAAAGCTTCTGCGGCAAATTAGGAAAGACAACTGAGGTAGCTATGTTTAGAAAGCTACTATTTAAGCACTAGACTACTCCTAGGCTTATACGCAAAAAATGTGGGGAGTGGACTGGGTGCAATGAAGAATCATTGCAAGACCTAGTCAACATGCATTCTCTAGGGTGTACGGACGCTACTAACTTCAGACGTCAATAGAGAACGTCATATAACATGGATAAAAGCTCTACGAAGCTGCAGGAAGATTAACGCAGAAACAGGGAACCCAAATTGATAGCCAATGCAGACAACATAGCTATACTAGTGATGGGCAAGTTCCTAGACACAATTTGTGGAGTGATGAATAGCGCTTTAAAATTCATACATTAATGGCCATTATTATTGGCTAACCTAGAGGTAAATGCCGGTCAGAGGAATATGGTACTCTTTAGAAGGAGGTAAAAGATCCCGTCAGGCTCCCCCGTAGACGTGGAAACTTAATATTAATGAGAGGTAGAAAGAAACCATGTAAGAAGATGACGGGGTCAACATGAGGACATATAGGACCTGTCCTTATGCATTAGTGTTGCACAGCGGTAGTCAAGCTAATCTTGCTTTACGGGGCTTTTGTATGCTGGACTGCTGCCAGTAAAATATCGTACAGGAAACCGTTGGAGCGAATACAACGACTCGCTGCTCTCTGCATAACGGAAGCACTAAAAACCACTCTATCGGCTGCACTTGAAAGGCTACACAACCTGCCACCAATTCACATTGCAGAAGAAAGCTCAGCTGCAAGATTGGCATAGCTCGATAGGCAGGGGGTCGGTGGAAAAACTAGACCATATACCCTCATGCTTTATCATGTCACGCTAAAAGGGGGTGGATGGCGCAGAGGCACGCGACTCACCAGCGGAATTTTCAACAGCTACATGAATGATCAAGATCTCAGGAGACCCTTCAAGCTAGTGGAATACTACATTATCTTTGAGGCTGAAGCCTTTGCGGTAAAGAAAGCTGCTGAGATAGCAAACAACGCAAGAAAAGAGGTAAAGAATATCAATACATACGTATGTATCAAAATTAGATGTCTAGTCTCTATTAAACTTCGCAAACAGCGTTGACGTCCTGCACGACGTAAACTTCGTCTCGTATTAATAATAAACCTCCATCTGGCGTTACATAGGACCTGTAGGTCTATGTATGGCGTAAAAGCCAGCCAGTGGAACCTAACCTAAGAAGTGAATTTGATATTTGTTAAGCTTCACTTGATTTTGGAATTTAACAGCTATTTGATTACTATGAAAGCGGCTGTTTCGAACTGAAATCTGCAAATCGTTGAATATTTTAGTAAGCTTAAGTTGTTTGTTCATTATTACTTGCTTGTTATTATTGGTGATAAGTTTGTCAAAGTTGTTTTTCACCATGAGCAGATCATCCTGGTCTGGGCTGCCAGCTGCATATTTCCATGCCGATCCTAACCAATTTAGGGATCTAGGTTTTTGTAGGTCGAATGATGATATGATTGCATGTAACTTGGTGAAAGTTTCTGTGATCTCGTAGTGAAGCGTGTGATAAACATAGATAAAATGATCCGAAACTCCTTTCTTTGCTTTGTGAGAGAGCTCATGAACTTTCAGTGCTGCCAAGAAAAACCACGAGCTCATGAGCTACTGAACAGATGACAACCAAAACAATGAACTACCCCTAAAAATCTCGCAGAAATAAAATGCGAAATCAGTGGGTTATTTGGGAGATCAGATTTTTTGGTGACTTTTACGTATATTTCTAATCTTTATTTAAAGAGTTTTAATATAGCTTTGATTTTAAGAAAGAGCGTGTATTTTGTCGCAGAGTACTGTTTTGCTTAGCACTACCAATTGTCAACGTATATACATATTTTGGCTAGAATTCCCAGCAAATGTTATGTAAACTTTGACTTCCGTAACGTTCATGTTTAGCTTATTTAAAACTTGAAAGTGTTTTGAAATATTAAAATATTTTATTAAAATTAGTTTTAAAAGTTAATTTAGAAAATCTTTTGTGCTCTAGCTTGTTAAACTAATTTTAATTATGTATATTTTTCTGTAAAATGGAAACCGAAAAATACTCAAGAAATACACTAAAAAATCCCAAAACGTATTTCTTTCCTTAGTGGCACCACTGTAAAATTTATAAAAAATTAGGACTTTGACAGCGCTCTCTCGAATCAAAGAGTTTCGGATCATTTTATCCATGATTGATATTGAGGTTGGCAATGTTCTTGTGTGATCATTTGCTATCATTCTCTAAATCATGGATAATATGATCCCAAACTCCTCTTTTTGCTTGTTGAGAGAGCCTATGATCTCGCGATTTATTTTGGCAGCACTGAAAGTTCATGGGTAACTGAACAAATAACAAGCAATATAACAAACTTCCATTAAGCTACCCGCTGAAATAAATTGCAGTGGGTTATTTGTCAGATCGATTATTGGTGAATGTTTGGTTTGTTTCTACCTTTTTTTTATGATATTTAATATAGTTGTTTTTATTTTTAAGTAAGAGTAGGTATTTATGGCAGAGTATTATATTGCTTAGCAGTATCAAATTTCTATATATATGTGTACTAATTTTGGTTAGAATTCCTCGCAAATGTTATTCAAACATTTACTTCCCAATAAATTGTTAAGCACAGAAAAATAAGTACAGTTAATGTCTGGTTTATTTAAAACATAAAAATGCAATGAAATATTTTGTTATATTGAGGTTTAAGAGTCAATTTTCAAAGTCCTTTGTGATTAAAATATTAGATCAAGTAAAAAGTTCGTTCGGTTTTTATTTAAGAGATGGAGTTATTGTCCATAGTACTAGTGTTACGTGTCGCATCATGTCATACTATACGGCGCTGAAAACGTGTTTATTCGCGCTAAAAGTTTGTCCTTGACAGTTTTTCGATTGATTGACTCAGTACGTTGTGAGCGCTCGTCAAAGATGGACACCAGCAAAGAGAAAATTCTCTATATTTTACAATTTTTCTTCGATCAAGGCTAAAAAGCAGCCAAAGCGGCTGAAAAAATTTATTTAGTTTATGGGCACGATACTGTAAACGAACGTGTAGTACAAAAGTGATTTGCTAGGTTCCGTTCCGGTAATTTTGATGTCAAAGATGCACCACGCGTCGGGAGGCCTGTCGTCGAAAATTTCGATAAAATCATGGAAATAGTGGAAACAGACCGTCACGTGAGCACTTATTTAATTGCTGAGGAAATAGAGAAAAGCCAAAAAACCGTTTGGAACCATTTGCATATCCTTGGATTCAAAAAGAAGCTCGATGTTTGGGTGCCACACGAACTAACGCAAAAAACATGATGGACCGAATTTCCATCTGCGAATCGCTGCTGAATCGCAACAAAATCGACCCGTTTCTGAAGCGGATTGTGACTGGCGATGAAAAATGGGTCACTGACGACAATATTGAGCGCAAACGGTCGTGGTCAAAGCTCGGGGAAGCGGCCCAGACGGTGGCCAAGACCGGATTGACGGCTAGGAAGGTTTTGCTGCGTGTTTGGTGGGATTCGCTAGAAATCATTTACTACGAGCTGCTCCCCTATGGCCAAACGCCCAATTGAGCCCTCTACTGCCAACAACTAGACCGCTTGAAGGCAGCACTCATCCAGAAGAGGCCATCTATGATCAACAGCGGCCGAATTGTGTTCCATCAGAAAAATGCCAGGCCACACACGTCTTTGCTGACGCGCTAGAAGCTCTAGTAGCTCGGATGGGAGGTCCTAATGCACCCACCTTATAGTCCGGACCCGGCACCAAGGGATTACCATCTTTTCCTGTCCATGGCGAACGCGCTTAATGGTGAGAAGTTGGCCTCAAGAGAGGCCTGTGAAAATTGGCTCTCCCAGTTTTTTGCCAATAGGGACGCAGCCTTCTACGAGACGGGTGTAATGAGGTCTGCATCTCGTTGGCAACAAGTTTACGAACAAAACGGCGCATATTTGACTTAAATCGGACAAATGTACATAAAGTTATCATCTTTTGAAAAACCAATAAAAAACCGAATGAACTTTTTACTTTACCTAATATTTATGGACATATGTACATTAGGGCCTTATATAGGATATTTAGCTTCTGAAACTAAAGTTAATTATTTATGCTTCTCTGTAGAATGAAAACCGAAAAACGCCCATTACATATGATTTATGAGGATGACAAAAATTTATGTGGAGAATGAAAAAAGTAAAAATTTATTTAAAAATAAAAATTTACTTTTTTCTACAAATGAATTTTATGAAAGAATAAGATTTAATATATAAAGATTTTAATAATTGCTGCAAAAAATTTATTTACTAATTCAATAATTAAATATGAACAATGATATTTACATATGCTAACAATTATCATTAAAATATTAACCATACATATACTTACATATGTATACATAAAATATAAAATATTGGTATTTCATCTTTGCTGGCACCATGCGACCGAAGCTATGCATGTACATGTTCCCTCATCGAAATTTGTGTGCAAACAGCTCTGTAAAACCACCAAAATGAGAAGCTATTGCTTGCAATGGGTGGCGTGAAATGTATTTAGATATTAATTGCCAAACATAAGCAATGTGCAGTCTCCACTGGCAATATTGCTAGCGAATCAGATTTTTAGCAATCTTTAGTTGCCTGTCGAGATGGCCCGCCACTTTGGCTGTGGTGATTCTGATAGCTCGATGTCTAATTATCGCTAAGTTGAAAATATCGATAACTTATTGGCATTTCTATCAAATAGCCACAACAGCATAGTTATATATAAGTACGATATTTAATTTAACGTGTTTTAGAACCATTATTACTTCTTGTAATGACGGCGTTTGTGAGAATTATGTGGAAATATTTAAGTATTTTGTTGATATTAAACGTAAAAAATGTTTGGTCCTTTTATTTGCCTGGATTAGCACCTGTAAATTATTGCGTTAAATCTGAATCATCGAGTTCCTGCAAAGTACGTAAATTTTAAAAAGTAAATTGTTTGTATGTCATACAATATAATAATTGCAACTATATTTAAACAACATAGCACCAATGCTTTTAGCGCCAAACTAAAAATTATGAATGAAGATGTTGTGCTCATCAAAAAATAAGAGAAAAACTTTAGTATAACGTCCCAGGCTTTCGGGGATAAAATGGGTATGGGCGGATAGAGGAGATCCTTCACATCAAGAATATGGGTCGGCTTTAGAATAACGTCCCACGCTTTCGGGGATAAAATGGGTATGGGCGGATAGAAGAGATCCTCCAGATCAAGAATATATATAGATATAGCAGCGGGAAACTTATAGTTTTCGAGATATTTACGTTTAAAGTTGAAAATTTCAACTAATTAAAGTACGTATTTTTGCGATTTAAAATGAATTATACACATATATTTTGCACTTTTATATCCACTAACACTTGACTAATTCGTTTTTAGAAATTTTTTTTATATTAGATGCTGCAAAAATAGCTTTATTTCAATATTTAAATCATTGTTCAATTTTATTAATTTTGACAATAACAAAATGGTTGTGAATGTCCAAACATCAGTGTTGCCATACTAATATATTTTGTAAACGAAAAAAAATAAAATAAACAGAGAGATTGTACCCTAGATACAGGAAACAACGCAAATAGAATTTCTGCGCGTTAAAACTTTGGTACACCCCGGTGTTGGATCAACCAGGGTTATTTTTTTGAAGCGCGGCCGAAGGCCGCCAACGCAAAAAGGAGTTCTGCGCAAAAAAACCTTGATACACCCCGGTGTTGGACCGACCAGGGTTATTTTTTTAAAGCGCGGCCGAAGGCCGCCAACGCAAAAAGAAGTTCTGCGCGAAAAATATTTTGATACACCCCGGTGTTGGACCGACCAGGGTTATTTTTTTTAAAGCGCGGCCGAAGGCCGCCAACGCAAAAAGAAGTTCTACAAGAAAAAAGTAATATTGTCATAGAGGGTATAACATAATACTTAACATCAATGCTTTGTAATAGTTTATTTCTCTAGGTTTTGGATTCCTATATTTGGGGTATTATCTGTTTTAATTTCTTTCAGTTCAATTACAAAAGATGTCGATAAGGTAACACTGGTTATTTGAAATTTTGCAACCCTTTTGTTATTGTCAGAATTAATAGAATTTAACAATAATTCAATTATTGAATTAAACTATTTTTGCACTATATAATGTAAAATTAATTGATACAAACGAATTAGTGAAGTGTTAGTATATAAAAAGTGGAAAATATAAGTGTATAACTCATTCGAAATGGGAAAAATGCACACTTTAAATAGTCGAAATTTTAAACTTTTAACCCAATTATCTTGAAAACTATAAGTTTCCCGCGGCTATAGTGAAGTGTTGGATCGGCCAGGGTTATTTTTTTGAAGCGGGGCCGATGGCCGCTAATTCAGAAAGAAGTTGGACGCGAAAGGGATAACGAAAACCCCAGTGTTGGATCGCCCAGGGTTATTTTTTTGAAGCGCGGCCATTGGGTCGGCTTTAGTATACCGTCCCAGGCTTTCGGGGATAAAATGGGTATGGGCGAATAGAGGAGATCCTATATAAGATAAGAATATATCTAGATATAGCCGCGGGAAACGTGTAGTTTTTGAGATTTTTACGATTAAAGTTGAAAATTTCAACTATTTACAGTACGTATTTTTGCAGTTTAAAATGAATTATACACTTATATTTTTCACTTTTATATCCACTAACACTTGACTAATTCGTTTTTAGAAATTTTTTTTATATTAGATGCTGCATAAATAGCTTTATTTCAATATTTAAATCATTCTTCAATTTTATTAATTTTGACAATAACAAAATGGTTGTGAATGTCAAAACACCATACGTATTTTTGCGGTTTAAGATGAATTATACACTTATATTTTTGGGAAAACTTTAGTTTAGCATCCCACGATTTCAGGGTTAAGAGGGCTATAGTTGGATAGAGGAGATTCCCAGATCTCGAATATGTATAATTATTGCCGCCGGAAACTTATAGTTTTCGAAATATTTGCATCTCTCGATTAATGGTTATCATTTCTTTATATTATGCACTTATTACACACTAACACTTCACTACAATGGTTGTTCTACATATTTATTTTATATGTAATATTTAAGTATTTGCTTTAAATAAGCATTTTATTTTTACACAATTTTCGTAATATAAACAATAACAAATGGGGGTTCATGTTGTCAGATAATAAATGTTGCCATATCCAAACGGATGAAAGCAATCACAATAAATAAAAAAACCCAATCACCCTCTACAAAATATTATGAATTTTATGGCTTAAACGTATGTTTTATTGCATCTGATAATTTCAAAAATGGATCATGATGCTGATTTACTATATTTTTACGCCATATGTATTCATATATCAAATTTTCAAAATCTTCACTGTTATTATAATTATCCTTAATAAAAATTGAAGTTTATAGAGAGTGATTTATTCTCTTTAACATTACTTTTTTTTTTGTTAAGATTTCTTATTTACACTGGCGGCCTTCGGCAGCGCTTCAAAAAAATAACCCTGGTCGGTCCAACACCGGGTTGTTCGTAATTCAATCGCGTCAAACTCTTTTCTGCACTGGCGGCCTTTATATAACGAAAATTGTGTAAAAATTAAATGCTTATTTAAAGCAAGTACTTAAATATTTAATAAAAAATAAATACAGTGACCGTCAATATAAAGTATACAATTTTTTTTGTTTTTAATTGTGGCATTAATTTTTTCTTATTTTACATATTATTTGTTTTAAGGTTGGGGTTTTTATAACAATATTTAATGGGCTTAAAGTATAGAAAAAAATAAAAACAATATTCCAACAACAACTTAAGATTAACATTAAAAACCAAAAATACTTCATATTTAACGCGTCAATATTAAGTATACAAAAAATACTTATTATGAAAAAAAATTTTTTTTAGTAATTTGTCTGCTTCCCTTTTGCTTTTATAACGGCATGTAAGCGTTTCGGTATAGAATTCACGAGATTCGTTGTAACTTCTGATGAAATTTTTGCCACTCTTCAACCAGAATTGATCTTAACATATCCTGACTGGTTATGGTTCTTTTTCGGATTTGTTTGTCAAGATGTTCCCACAAATGTTCAATAGGGTTCAGATCCGAGGACTGGAGGGATGATCGAGCTGTTTTGGGGTGCAATACAGTAACCATTCCTTCACCAGCTTAGCAGTATGCTTCGGATCATTATCTTTTTGAAAGACCCAAGATTGATCCAAGCCTAATTTTTCAACGCTGGGTGACAAATTATCCCTTAAAATCTTAAGGTAGTCGTCCTTATTAATTGTCCCCTCAATGAACACTAAGTTTCCGACTCCACCTGCGGCCATACAACCCCACACCATTACCGAGCCACCACCATGCTTAACGGTCGGAATCAAATTTGGTTCTGCAAATGCCTGGTTTTTGGCTTTCCAAATTTTTACAGCTTTTTTTTTGCCAAATATCTCAAATTTGCTTTCGTCGCTAAACAGGATATTGCTCCAGAAAGAAAAATCTGTGTTTTCATATTTTTTTGCATATTCAAGGCGTCGCTTTTGGTTGGTCTCTGTAATGTATGGTTTCTTTCTGGGCTTTCGACCATAGATGCCATTTTCATGCAGAGCCCTACGTACTGTACTGGCACTTACGCTTTCGCCTGATAATTCTGACACATTTTTCGCTATTTGCACAGCACTTTCAAAGGGATTCGCTTTCACCGTTCGTACTATACTTCGAATTTGGGTATTATTAAGCCGTCGTGGTCTTCGACGATGATCAATATTCTGAAATTTTCCACTCTTATTGTATTTGTCGACAATTTTTTTTACGGTGTTGTGATTTCTGCTGATTAAGTCGCCAATTTCTCTCAAAGCTTTTCCTTGTGTAATTTTATAACAAGTTCACGCTTGTCCACAGAGGTTTGTTTACCCATTTTTATGGAAAAAAAAAATATTTGCACAAAAACAGTTTGGTTACAAGCACGTGTGAATAGTGATTCTTAAAATGATCAACTGAAACAAATAATAAAATATAACGGTAAATTTTTTGCTCCCGCTGCTTTCCACTGCGCTTTTTACAAAAACAACACGGCTGTATACTTAATATTGACGCGTTAAATATGAGATGCATTTTGTTTTTGCTGCTGAACTCAAATTGTTGGGATTTTGAGTTTTTTTTTTTTTGTTTAAAATGGAATTAAATATTGTTTGAGAAAAGAGCATCTTTTAAACAAGAAGAGGAGTTAAAAACTAAAAAAATGTATGTGACGATTTCAGATGGACTTGTATACTTCATATTGACGCTGACTGTATGTAGAAACATTGAAGTGAAAAGTTAGTGTATAATAAGTGCATAATATAAAAGAAAAGATAACCATAAATCGAGAAATTGTAAAATGAAATTTGTGAAATTTTCAACTTAAAATGCAAATATCTCGAAAACTATAAGTTTCCGGCGGCAATAATTATATATATTCGTTATCTGGAGAATCTCCTCTATCCAACCATACCCCTCTTAACCCTGAAATCGTGCGACGCTAAACTAAAGCCCAACCATATTTTTCACTTTTATATCCACTAACACTTGACTAATTCGTTTTTAGAAATTTTTTTTATATTAGATGCTGCAAAAATAGTTTTTTTTCCATATTTAAATCATTCTTCAATTTTATTAATTTTGACAATAACAAAATGGTTGTGAATGTCAAAACATCAGTGTTGCCATACTAATATATTTTGCAAACGAAGAAAAATAAAATAAAAAGAGATTTTACCCTAAATACAGGAACCATAATTGTTGATGGACACTAATAAATATTTTAGTTTCCTTCACTTGATAAACCCCGGTGTTGGACTGACCATTTTTTATGAAACGCGGCCGAAGATCGCCAACGCAAAAAGAATTTCTGCGCGAAAAAACCTTGGTACACCCCGGTGTTGGTTCGACCAGGGTAATTT